GTGCTACAGACTGTTTCAGATATTTGATGGGTAGTTTTAATTTTAGAAATCACACTTTTCGAAAACCCGGAACAATCCGAAACCAAAGAAATAAATACAGTACAAATATATTTATTGATTTTAGAAAAAAACGGCAAGGTGGAAATCCTGGACTGTGACGACCAAACCAGGCCTTGCATATATAATTTTTAATCTTTTAATATTTTATAATCCTAATTGCTTAAAGTAGAATTCAAATTTTAATCATAAACAAAATATATATTTATTACTCCAAAACTTCTTTCAAGTTTGCTTTCTAGTTTTATTCGGAGATTAGTAATTTCTTTTCCTCCAAATTGTACCACACTGTAGCCTATAGTAATACTATGAATTTTGCTTTAAGCAATTAAGATTGTAAAATATTAGAAAACATTAAAAATTATATATAATCCGGATTTGGTCGGCACATTCCCGGATCTCCATCTTGTGTCCCTGGTTTCCCTAGAAGCACTATAATTCGTCCCGGATTTAGATTTTTTGTCTCAAATTATTTCGGGATTTCGAAAAGTGTAGGATTAAATTGAATTTTTGTAATTATTTGATAATAAAATTACGGCTAACCATCAAATATCTGAAACTGGAATAATTAATGAGTATGCTTATATGAATCAATACGTTATGAATGTAAAATTCCAAAGAGGGGTTGAAATAGATTTTCACGTTAATAAGTTCGAACTTTCATTTTCAATTTTATAGAAAGGAGCGAAAAATTATAAAACTGAAATTTTTGACTGACTGGCACAAATGTACATTTTTACTTAGTTAATTATTAAAAAAATTTAACAGAATTTTATAGAAGGCTTGAAAGCGAACGAGCTTATGAAATCGGTAAGATAAAGTGTAACATATAATCGAATAATACAGTTCTGACAAACAATCAGTAATTCTAATTAAAACATGGATTCATTTCAAGTAATTGTAATATGTATTAATATTGTATACTTAAATAGTATTTATTATTTTAAATCATATTTCAGTTATTTGGCTTAATAGCACATTGTATGTTAATATTACAGTCTTTCGGACGTCCCTATTGCGCCGTGAGATGCAAACGAGCACCTTAACAAGCCACAAATCATTCGGATGCGTTATGTTGGCGTTTTTTCTCCATCTGACGTCCTGTATGATAACATTTCTGAAAAATAAAAACAGTTATTTTAATACGTTATTGAATATTAGGCAATAAATCAGTTTGGATAGATTTAGCGAGAATGTGGTTTATTGCTGTTTAATATGTATACGGACGTTTTTGAATGCATGCGATGCGATTATTGCGTAGGCTTATGTAATCATTTATATAGTGTAATAAAATATATGCATATTCATATATGCAGAGACATGTTACTGTTAACATGAACAATTTGCCTACGTTCGCAACTTTGTTTGCAAAGTATGTAATGATTATTTGATTATCACCAAATCATTTTCCATTCAATATTATTATATAATTAAATACATGTTATATATATATATATATAATTAATTTTTCCAACGAATGGATCAAGATCTTTACCAAATTCACATAGTAGACGTTCATTAGTCCGGCGTCCAATAGACTAAAAAAGTCGAAAGGCCGGCATCGCTCCGGAAAATTGTAAAAATTTGTGTTTTCTCCAAAAGCGAGTAAATTTAAAGCAAATAAAAACGCTCGAGAGCTGCAGAATCACTACATAAGTTTGTCTTTTTTCTGAGGCTAGTATTTGCTATTGTGCTTACCGGATTATCGGATATTTTTTATACGTTTATGTTTTTTGAAATCATAACTTAAAAATTTATTGCTTTCTTAAAAAGACATCATTCAGCTTTCATTATTTGTTCAAATTAAGTTTATTAGAGTCGAACTTGATCTTAAAGAAAGTAAATATTAAAAATGTATAGATCCATTAGAAGGGCAAGCCAACAATAGAATAATATGTATTTTTATATATTGCTTTTTCAGTTAAGAATAATTAAATATACATAGACACGTTAGTTTGTTTCTTTAAAAACTACGTAGCATTCGAACTAAAATCTGCATCATAGTCCCTGATGGGCTCCGCCCGTAGGTAAGCGGTTAAAAGCGACGGAACTTGTTTCAGAGGTCCCGGGTTCGATATCCACTTCGAGCAGCCTGTTGTCAGGCTACATTGACAACGATTTTCACTTGGAAATATAGTTAGCAATATGTTTCCAAGTGAAAATAGCCCTCACCCAGCATTGCTGCACCCTGTTACACTCGCCCTATTACAGAAATTGTAATACTAATTTATCATACAGAGTTTTGACTGTTTGGGTTGCCATCTGTCAAATAGACTAGTATTAAGTCAAAATCAGCACAACAACTTATAGGACTATTAGGTTCTGATTGCTGTTCAAAAATAAAAAAAAAAATTAAAAAAAATATTCCCTGATAGGAAAGATGTAAATGTTTTACCTAAATTTTGGTTTCTTGAGTATAAAAGCATTGTGCAGTTTTTCTATTTATGTAAAATATTTTGTGTATTTATTTTATATTTATATAAAATGCAATTAGGAAATTCTACAACTTTGCTACTCAAAAAACTAATTGTTTTAACAAATACATTAATGCAAAATATGCAAAGTTTTATTGCAAGAGAATATTAACTAAATTGAACCTTAGGAGCACAAATCAAACAGATATTAAAAAGTTACACATCCCTTGTATGTAAAATCGGATTGACAAATTACGTTATATTATATAGTTATACCTATTTCAATTGTATAAAATAATATAACCGTAATAGAAATTTTACATTTCAAATATTTGATATTAAAAGAACCAAGATGCGGCTACTTATCCAAGTTGAGATCTTTACAGTTAATTAGAAGAAATTAAATTTAATCTCTTCTAATTAACTGTAGATCTTAGAAGTATGTATTTAAATTCAATGCAATTTATTAGAATTAAATTATATTTGTATTTTTAACTCAAAATATTATGTTATATATGTAATATAATGCACAGTAAAAAAAAAAAAAATTAGGATAAAAAAGTTACATTCGTCAACAGATGTTTTCACTTTATTAAGTATTTATAATGTATGATTATTGCCTTCAGAACAATATAATAAACAACACATCAAAATTAGAGAACATTCTATATTAATTATAGTAAAATCGACTATAATAGATAGAGAAAAAATCAATCCAAACATAACTCAGAATATGTAACACTAAATAATAGACGATATTAATATCGCTATTAGTCAAACATTTATCACAAAAGAATAATTGATTACAAAACACTTTTTGATGCCTGTGGTCACGTCTGTGCGACTTTTATATTCTTTATTTGTTGTTATGAATCATTTTAATTGCTCATGAAACAAATGCAAAAATCATAACAATTTTGTTAGATACAAAACTCGGTAAATTGTAGAGGAATTGATTTCATTTAATATTTATTATTCCAATACACATTAACATTATACTTTGAGATTCAGTATATTCGACCAATCTGATTAATAGAGTAATTGTAATAAGACATTAAAGTTTTGATTGACAAAACAAAATTATCACAAATAATACTAAAGAAATTCTAACAATAAAAATATATGAAATATGGATAGGTTAATCGTTGGGTTGCCTTCTAATTGTTAAATAATAGTAAATGTAGTTAATAAATATTCTCATAACAGATCGTAGGACATGTAAAGTTTAAAAAACAATAAAATATATAAAGTTAATTATAAAAAATATTTTCAAAATTTAATTATACATTAAAGATAAAAAGTAAAGTTGTTTCGTAGTACAATCTAAGGTAGAGTATGGGTAGAGTACTTACGTCGTATCCCCAAAGAAAATAGTGCTATAATATTTAGGGCAAATAAATTATTTATTATTATTTACTAAATTTGGCGTTTAATAAAAAGTTGGCTTATGATTAACAATTACTTAAACTTAATTTGTTTTTATTAAAATTTATATTTAAGTTTTTCAAAAATGTGCTTTCTGTACGAAGCACACATTAAAGCGCCTGGTCGCCCACAGAATTCAATCTGACTGTGAGATCTACTTTTCTTTATTTATCATAAGTCGAACATTATTTTCAAAACAACACCTAGAATAAAATAACCATATCAAAAAGTAAAGCATTTTAGTGCTATTTATTAGTACTTTAATTTTTTATTTCTTGTGTATAATGGTGTTGCTCTATATGTCATGTGAAATTCAAAAAAATTACTTAAAAAATTAATGGCTGTCTTGGTGCTGGAAATGATGATGGAACTTTGCATGAAGTCATAATTATTATTGGTTAAACACTTGGTGTTTTTCAATTTGATAAAAAGTTTTAGAGAATTATATTTAGAGCAAGGTTGCTTAAGACGTACCCCTTTTGCCTGATAGTTATAAATTATATTTAAATATAATTACTTAGTTGAGTAAGCAAACGTGTACAAATAGAAGACTGGCTGTTTCTATAAAACAGAAATAATTAGTTAGTAACCTTTTCATATAGTTTCTACTAATATTTTTGTCTTCATAACTATATATTCGGCAAGAATATAATTCACACATGTTTTCCTTACTAACGTTTATTTTTATTACTAATCTTTTAGGCACATTTAACTGGTACAATCAAGTTAGCTTGTGCCATTAGTCCTAATTTCAAACATAAAAGACCATAAAGCTTAAGTCGTACCTGTCCAAAATTTCTTATTAATTTTTGTTTGATTTGGAACAAATAATTTATATAGAGTTAAATTTAATGTTTTTGTTTTAATTTTTCGTTCGTTCGTTCTATTTACCAAATTGATAATAAATAATGAATCATTAAAAGATAGATTGAATATTTCTTATCAATACCCCCTTCCATGCATGCGCATCAGGTAATCAAGTCTTATAAACATATGACTTACATCTTTATAAGACTGATACACTTCTTAAACACTCCAATAAATATAATAATATCTATCGCGCTCTCTAAAGAATTTATTATTTTAATTGATTAATTTAAATTTTTGATCTGTTTACATTGTGCTTTATAAAATTTGTGGCTTATTACATAAAAATATTCTCATAAGTGTGTGTTATATTTTTGAAATCAAGATGATGAAAATTGGTTTTATAGGGGGAGGAAAAATGGCACAGTCGATGGCCAAGGGATTTATTAATGCGGGTAAGTTGTATTGTGTATTATCATCATTTTGTACGGGTGTTTTTGTACATTCCTAAACTATTTTTTTTTCATAAAAATATTTATTGTTATTAAATTAATAATTAATACTATAATAATTATAAGTAATAAACATATGAATTTGATGTAGCATTTATTATTAAAATGATATATCGCGTTTTCGACAAGATTGTGTGCTTTAACCATAATTTTATACTATTTCTCTGGAGATATTTTGAGCTCTTTATATTAATAACAAATTTATTAATATATTATTTAAAAAGTTGAATTATAAAGATTTTCTTTCTCAAAATAAATAAATTGGACCAATAAACAAAATACTTGGTTATATGTTTTCATTTTGTATCATTCTATTTAATATTTGTTCAGTGTTTACAAGCAGAAGTTAAAGGTTGCCAAGATTAGATATCAATATCATTGGAATTATATGTATATATATATATATATGTGTGTATATATATATACATATATATACATATATATATATATATATATATATATAAATATTATTGAAACGGTAGAAGTCAATAATGTCAAAAATAATAAATAATGAAAATCGTCTTTTGTGAATTTTGACACCGCATCCGTGTCATCAGTCAGCAGTTCAAAATTATTACAACATAATGAAACTTGTGAGAAAAGAATTTTTAAACTATATTTTAAATATTTGTTATACATTTAAGAGAAGGAAATTCATACCATACCCAGAAGACACGAAATAGATAAAAAATATTTTAAATTTCTGAGAACAAAACATAAGTTATAAAAATGAAAAGTTTAACATTAAAATATTTTTAATTAAAAATATTAGTCAAGCCCATGATATTTCCATACAAACTGAATTTGAGCATAATGCCCAATTAAAATGTCGCAAAAAAACGATTTGCAAAAATATTTTTAAAATGGTTAGTAAGGTAGATGTTATGATTAGATTTAAAAGGTTATCGATATAAATAAAATGACGTTTTTTTATAACTAATTTCTCTAATTTTTTATTATAGAATTTGTAGTTTTTAGGAATCCATACACCACTATTAATTACATCCACTATTAATTAAAGTGTTTCAATTAATCTTTTTATATTGCATAAAATTATTTTCTTTAAGTATATTTCAATATATATACATATTGCACTTTGAATTAATATTGTTAAAATGGTAATTGCAGGACTTACAAAAGGCGAACATCTTGTTGCAAGCTGCCATCCATCAGACAAACAGAGTGTAGAAGCTTTTACGGTAATATGCAAAATTTACTGATATATATATATATATATATATATATATATACTAGTTGTACCGTGCCCCGTTTTGCTGTGGCATATTGTAATTGAATGGTTGAGAGTTGTGAAATGAAACAAAGAATATACTTGCAATATTTGTAAATGCACAATATACTTCTTCCACATCAGTCTTTGTACAATTCATCTGTGAAATAAACCCTTTGTCTATTTTTTTTATTTTCAAGTGAACAGGTGGATTGCGTTCACGCAAAGGAAATGAAAGAACTTGCCAAACAGTCCCACTGCTGCTTATGCACCTTACAGCCTGGTTTTGACCAATTTCAGAGATATCTTGTACTGCATCTTTGTCACCATTATTTGATTGCACACTAAAAACTGCCATATCACTGCCTTTATTGACATTTTTAACAAAATTATAATATTCCACGTTTATGTGGGCTTTATTGCTTTTTGATGGCGAAGTATGGAATTACCCAACAGTTGTCTGCATCAATATCACCATTGTTCATGTTTATATTTGACAAATTCCCATAATCTTCAGTTGTTCTTCTTCTATACCAAGGACATCCATCGTCGTCACTTACTGTATTGGCTATGATTGCTCGAGCATATTGCTGCTTAAAGCATTTACCATCTACCATGCATGGTTAATTTGGATTTAGTGAACCACATGGTTCATGTATCATGTTTCTTATAATAACTGCATGCAAATCTTTATCAACGTAAGTCCGTGTGATCTCGGCGCATATCACATTGTCAATTTGATATGTAGATATTTTATTGTACAACCAAATTAGTATATGTACATGTGGGAATCTCTCTTTTGCCATTCCCTCAAATGGCCCAAATTTGACTTTTTGTGAGGCATTATTTCGGTTTTCACTATAACATCAAAACTACAGCTCGCAAACAAAAAGACACAGGATAGACATCATTGAAAATTAATAATACTTCATTTAAATAGTGAATAGCTAATAATAATTAGTAGACTAATAATTTACTTATTCATCAAATGTTGTATAAGGTATAGGCTCGAGCTATAAGTCTAGTCTACTTATACTTATAAGTAGGTAGGTAGTTACTTATTGGTATAAGATATCTACTTACTTAATTAAGTAAAATGCACAGTTCGATCAATTTTCAAAATTATTTGATTTAATAATATTTTCACGATTTTGTAAAGAGCGCAGCAAAAAGCTGTTTTTCGCGGTCTTGGATATGTGACTGATTCAAAAAGTAGATAAAAACAATCATGCAAAAATTTTGGCTCAACCGGTGTAGAACTTTTTGAGTTATATCCTTAATTGCGAACCTACATAACATATATATTTATTATTATATTATATTATATTATATTATGAACTTTCCAATTTTCAGGGAATGGGTGGAAAATCCACATTTGATAATACGGAAGTTGTTAAAGATGCTGACGTAGTTTTGATATCAGTTAAGCCTCATATTATTCCGGAAGCTTTAGGAGATGTCACGAAAAAGTATTCAAACATGGACAAACTCTTCATGTCAGTTGCAATGGGCGTCACGACAAAACAACTAGAACAGGTAATACAGGGTATAAAATTCATTAAATGTTTTAAAAATGATTAATTATTTTATTATTATTTTAGGATTTACCAAAAGGTTCGCGAGTCATAAGAGTAATGCCTAACATACCAGTGATGGTTGGTTGCGGTGCTTCCGTCTACACTCTCGGAAGTGCAGCGACGGAAGCAGATGCTGAAACAACACGTTCCTTAATGTCAGCAGTTGGCACTTGTGACTATGTATCTGAATCATTGTTTGATGTAGTTACTGGACTGAGTGGATCTGGTCCAGCATATGTGAGTACAGTTATTGGAAAAATTAATTCAGTCATATTTATAACGGGTATTCACATATTAGAGTGGTGAAAGTTTTTCAATGCGATCATGGCTGAAAAGGTACATTTAAAGGTATATCCCTGAAAAAGTTTATGAAATCAATTGAAACAATAAAAATACAACGTATACAAGTATATAATACACACACACACATATATATATACATATATATATATATATATATATATATATATATATATATATATATATATATATATATATATATATATATATATATATATATAGTAGCACATAGCCTCATGAGCTTTTCGAAAAACGAGCCGTCAAAAAAACGGTTTGTTGCTTTGTCATACAAGCAAAATTCGAGATACGTGCGAGTGAGAACCGAATTAGGATTTGATAAAATAGGTTCATCTAATATCAATGGTGACAAGGATTTTTGTATGTGAGGTCGCAATTTACTATCATGCAAATATTTCCATGTTTGTGGAATGTATCTTTAAGATGTATTCACGCATAACATCAACACCTCTAATTCAAAAATATCTCAAGCGCTTTAAAATGCAACTGATGCACAAAATAATTTAAAACCAGCGACACCAAAAAAATAGCAAGATAGATCTCTTTAGTAAATAACAGAAAGTATGCCGGAATGGACCAACTGAGAGCAAAATAATAAAAGAACTACCAAGAAAAGCAAGAGTTATGATATCATATTTATTTAATTCAGTTGGAAGAAATAATGATGATACGAAAGCCATGGAAACCTGGACATAATCCAAGTTCTTACGGGCCAATAGGCTTGCAATCGGGGCTCTCAAAGTTCTATGAAAAATTAATATTGACCCGACTAGTGAACAGAATGAATATTATACCAGGTCATCAGTTTGGTTTTAGAAGGAAACATACTACTATCCAACAATGTCACAGCTCGAAGATAAAGAATACTGTTTGACTGCATTTATCGATGTCCAACAAGCCTTCGACAAAGTATGGCATGACGGTTTACTATATAAGATAGAAAATTGTCTACCGGAAGAATATTACCAATTATTACAATCATATTTAACATATTGATACTTCAAAACAAAAGTTGGCAATAAGATCGGGAGTGCCACAAGGTAGCGTGTTAGTATCTGTTTATTCCTAATTTATACGCACGATTTACCAACTAACCCAAGCACTGTTATGGGTACCTTCGCAGACGATACCGTAATTATTGCATCACACGAGGATTCGACCGCAGCCTCGTTAAACCTGCATGATCACCTAGCTAAAAGGGTGAAAAACCGAAATCAATGAAAATAAGTCAAAGCGCATATAACATTCACCACAAAATCAAAACCATGTTCGTAAGTATACATAAATGATATCCAAATTCCGACTTCCAATAGCGTAAACTATTTAGGAATGCATCCATAATTAAGTAAACATCTATAACAATGCATTTATATCGGCGTCTCACATGGAGACACCACGTTCAAGAAAAATGCAAACAAGTCAAGAAAAAAATCAAAAAATTATACTAGTATCTGTATTTGGAAGTGTTTAGATAAAAATATGTTATGAGAAATGATTTCGCTATTGTATAAATAATAATATAAACTTTATCGACTTTTGAAATTTTAAATTAACACGTGAAAAACTTTTTCTGAATTAAAATGATACTTTATTGCTACATCTTTGTTATTTAATATGAATCATTCATTGGTTACACGCATGTGTTGAATATATATATATATATATATATAATATATATATATATAATATAATATATATTATATATATAAATATATATAATATATATATATATGAATATATATATATATAATAAAGTCATTCACTATATTCATCTAAGCACTTCCAAATAAAGAGGCTCTTTATCGCAAAATATACAAACAACATTTTTGATCATTTTTTATTGGTTTTATTATGATTAGCATTCCTAATATATAAGAAATAATATTGAGTTTATGAAAGAAATAATTGGATATGCATTTAGAATCGCTTGTTTCATGATTTTGCCATTTATTTCCCTATCACATGTGGTATTCAAGAATTCGGTATTCGGCCGAATAGATTAAATGGTGCCAAATATTCCAAATAACAAAGAGTAGCCGAATAGCGGTTGCAAGTTTAGATATAAAACTTGAATAAACATGTAGCGCGTTAGTAATATAACAATTACTGGTAGTAATTACATTAATACAAACGAGGTTAGGCGCCAAAAACCTGCCGAATAATTGTCGAATATTTGATATTTGGTCTTTGCAGCATGCCGAATATTCGCAAGCCTAAAGTAAATAGAATCAGAAAACCAATATGGCGCCGAGTTATGGCGGACACATCGTTGAAATATGGCAACACTTTGTGGCAGCAAAATATACTGTTATGGTTAACGTGACAGATGACATTTCAGTGTACACAAATAATGAATTTATGCAAATATTAGAAACTAGAAACTGGGTGATCATATAAATTAATTACAAAGACATAAATAATACATCAAATTACAAAATCGTATTATGGAAACAATTATGTCAGAGCAACTTAAAAATCCCAATTGTACTTTTCATTTTGGATCGAGTGTTTGGAGTTTTCGGCAATCTATCTGTATCAATGGGCAGCAATGTAAGTTTTCTAAATTTTTAGTATTAAATCTTCTTCTTAAAATCTTAGATGCACTGCTTACTAACTTTCATATATCTTATTTAACGTATCATGGTCCATCCTTTGTTAGGTTAACTATAATCTATAACTATTGATTATTAAATTACTCTAACGGTTTGAAGTTTTTCTACTTACTCTCTGACTCCTTCAAATCAGTATCAATCGATATTGATCATGTATTTCAAAGGTATTAACTATATATATTTCTCAAAAAGAATATGGGTGCAATATGGGGCATTATATAGTTACTGGTGCTGGAGATCAAGCAACATTACTTAGAAGAGTTTCAAGCAATAATAAAATGAATATTTACAGAGATATGAATTGATTGGAAATATTTTGCGCTTCCCAAAGCTAAGCCAGGGAATAACTTGATGTAAATTAAAGTCAATTATGGATCCAAATGAAGAACGGGTATTATTAAATCATAGAGGCAGTGTGCAAGATCTAAATTTTCCAATTCAAGATTCCAATGAATCACATAGTTCTAATGAAGATTGGTCTGATGGCTCATCAAGTCCAAGTACTTATTGCTATGATAATTCACCAGAAGAATGGGAATCCATGGTTGGTCCAAGAGGGGATTTACTTTATTTTAAGTGTAACTCATCAGCACCTTCTAAAATTGTTACAAATGATTTTATTACCGAAGCGAAGAATAGTTTTCAAAGAACATCAACTCGTAGAAGTTCCAGAGCACAATTGTCAAAGCTAATGAATAAAAAATGTAACAAGAAAATTCTTTCAAGGAAAAGTTCACGTGAATCCGTTTTTAGTCTATTTAGTGAAGAAAATCAAGTAAAAGATTCTGTGCAAACAATTACATTAAATTTAGATATTAAAAATCGCCACGGCTTAGGTCGTCAGGCTAGCATCAGTGAAGCCCTGTTAGGCATCAGTACAACTACGGATCCTGAGGGATCCAGAGTTATAGTTTCTGGATTTGTACAAAATTGTGAAGCTTTATCACAAAATAAATTGAAAATTGGCGATTGGATTCAAATGATAAACAATTCTGAAGTAGATCAAAAGAACTTTGGAGTTTTATTGAATTCTTGCTCAGATAAAGTATCAATAACTTTCCAGCACTACGACACTGGAGATGATGGAACAAGTGCGTCTTCTAAACTATTTTCACAACTGCTGGGTATATCCCAATTTGATATGGAAGCGATATCATTAGCCTTAGAAAAACAACATATGTGTGCTATATACTTAAATACAAGTTCCAATTCAGATGATGCAGATGATCACAATGTTATATACAGTTTTCCTCAAATATCTACAAATAACTATAATTCCCTTTTAAACATCAATGGGGCATTCATCACAATTGATCACATGTTAAAAAATTCTTTAAAAACTGAACCTATAAGTACAACCATCACATATTTTAATGACAAACTGCATATTATGTATAATTCACATGGGGAAGAACTATTTTTGCTTGTCTTACCTGATACTTATTTTAACATATCAGAATCAAACATGTTTAATGAGTGTCTAATTAGAACTTTAAATTTCATGTATCAAAACTTGCATAACACTTTTTGTAATGAAGAACATAGAGATAATCTCAATCAATTTTTCGCAGTGCTTTTTTCAAGGGCTATTGCTAACAAACAGAAACATGCAATTTTCGAAAAAGGTTTGGCTGCAGCTATATTTGTTCCTTTACCAAAAGAAGCTCAAATTCGAATTGATGATGCCTTAAGTGAATTGGCATCTGGGGATTATAGGTATTGGAACAGAAATCCATTAAGTACTCGCAGAAAGTTTATTATAATTGGAACTGCTTTATATCATGGAGCAGCACTTTTAGGAAAACAAATAATGAGCACTGATTTAATAGATATTCAAGGATATTTAAGCACCACAGGTATATCAGAACTAATGACAGTTGAAACTTTATCAGACATGGTCTCATGGAGAGAAGTTTACCCTCAAAGCTGCAAACATATTGCAAAAAAATCAAATGCATATAAGAAACCTTTATGTCGTTGGTTCTTGCTTATTGTTGGTAAAGGTAAAGATATGTTATGTACGATTTTGGAAGCAAACTGCAATATGGAAGGCATGAAAGGTGTTGTTGGTCCTGATCCATTTTATGTAGAAGAAGCACAAGCAACTTTAGAACATTTAATATCTCGTGGAATTTGTAGATTAGCTGCGCAGTGGATTGATAACTGGCGTAGACCACAAATTGTATTCAATAAACCAGAAGCAACAAGTACATTGAGAAGGCCTTTAGAATCTACTGAATCATTCAGAACATTAAATTTATCAATGGCATCAACGCATAACACAAGTTCACCAGGATATTCGAATGCTTTTTCTAGTACTAGTATACCCAGAGATATCGACAGTTCTGAAGACTCTGCAAGTTTAAATAGTCCACAAGCTCATGGTAGACAGCTTAGTGATTCGGATACAGAATTTGATGGATATCATGGCAGTAACCATGCTGATAGTTCTAGTGAAGGATATTTAGTTAAACCGAGCATGCTCCAAGATATTCGTGGTGTTATTCCATCAAAAATTACCGCTGGACCTTCAAATAATCTAGTTCATTTTGTACATTTTGATACTGGAAGTGGGGTTTTAATAGCACCAATTCTTGATAGCAATGATAAAATACTTGACTTATTCAGAAGCGCATGCCAAGAGATTCATTTGGTTTTACAAAATACTTTATTATTAAAGAAAATATTATCACAAGAATCTACATATTCAGATTCTCATAGGTCATTAATTGCAGTTAGAGAACATGGAATTATTATAAGAATAAAAAATGAAGCAAGTAATACTTTTACAAAATATTGGGTAGTTGGTAGATTATTATTGTCACCAATAAGAGAAGTATATGTTGTATATCAAGATGATGCACAGCAGAATATGGTAGAGTTAGCATTTAGAATGGCTCTTAATGCTATTGGATGAATTGTTTGTTAATATAACATTTTTTTTATGAATTATATAATAAATTACAATTCCATAAAAATTAACGTTTGTGATTATTGTAACATTGTTGCAGCTTATAACACAACAAAACTATTAAGTCTTATTTGTCATAACTATTATTGATGAAAAATTTGTTAAATGCTTAGATATTTATGTGTTTATTTGCGACGATATAAATTTTAGGATAGTGAAAGAGATGATGACATATTTTTGGGCATTTATCGAATAATAAACAAAAATTAATGAAGAAGTATGTCTTTATTAAAACAGCTTACGTTTCATGCCTTAGTTTGACTTGTGTTCAAGGCTACATTGAGAAAAGTTACAAAGGAATAAATAACATATGTATTTCTAGAAAAATTATGATAATAAATGTTAAAAGTATAATATGGAAAACATAAACGAAAAAGATTTATAACATGAAATTTAATGCTAAAATATATAGAGGTAAGAATAGTTAAATTAAAATGATATGTAGAAACTTAGCATTCAAATAATTCACACAAAACACAAAATTTGTTCGAATTACTTTGCACAAAGTTTTAATTATTCGTATCATAAGTTATTACATATTATTTTATATTTAGAGTTCTTATCTTTATATATTTTAGCCTTAAATTTCAAGTTATAAATGTTTTTGGTTTATTTTTCATACTACTTTGAATATTTAAAATCATAATGGTTTTAGTTTTAGTTTATTATTTATTACCTTGAATTTTTTTTAATATAGCGCTGAAGTCGAATCGAACCATCTTTCACCAAATAAACCTTTTTTTTAAATTGAAGTTACTTTATGTACTTTATTTATTGATTTTCAACTTTTATTTTTACTGCCATATGTGCACAATTTTGATGAATTTCTGAAAGATACATTTTTAACTTCTTGATTTTTCTTTAAAACAGTTTTAAACATTTCAAAAACAGTATTTCTTTGCTACAAATATACAAATCAAATTTAGTAGGTTAGGTAGTAGTAATTCAAAAATCGTTATTTTTTCTATAAACCAAAGATAAATTATACTGAATGTTATAAAATTTATGCCACTGTATTTTGCAATAGCGATCATGAATGACAAAGAAACAATTTTATAAATATAAAGTTAGCATTCTTATCTAGATTTATACAATTTTGGAAATAGATATTCGTGTTAATCGAGGCTTTGGCTGATGGTGGGGTTAAGATGGGTTTACCGCGAGATCTCGCTTATAAATTAGCATCTCAGACAGTCTTGGGTGCAGGAAAAATGGTTCGTGATACAAATGAACATCCTGGAAAACTGAAAGATGATGTTACTAGTCCAGGTGGTACAACTGCAGCCGGCCTCTCATTTTTAGAACACAAAGGTAATAAATGCATCAATCACGAGCATTATAGTTAATGTATTGATTTTCTCCATTAACGTTTTCATTAATACAACTAATTTATATACATTTACATATCCCTTATTATAAGCATTCCTTTAATGCTAAGTATAAAATAGTGATGAAGTGAACAAATTAAATCTTTTTTTCTTCCGTTATTTTTCTAACTTACTGTATTTTATGATTCTAATTTATTTTTATTAAAACAATTGTGTCATAAATGTAATAGAGAACACGATCTACTCAGATACTTCATGTTGAAGAAATGATTTTATTCAGGAATTACACTTGTATCAATTTCATGATTATAAATTATTATAATTCATAGGATTTCGTGCAGCTGTCCAAGGAGCTGTAGAAGAGGCATGCAAAAGAGCAATGATGGTGTCAAAACCAAGTTAATTTTAATTGTAGAATTATTGTTATAATATGAAACATTCACATATTTTATTAGCTCATGAAGGTAAAACAATTTAAAACAAAAATTATTAAAAATCCATTTAGTATTTGAAAGTTTTTATAATTATCTCACAATTTTCAACCAGAAATAAAATATTCTTCTTTCAGGTAATTCATTTGCATAACAATGTTGCACATTTCAGGGTTTGCAACATATAAATCTCATAAGTTTTAATTCTAATTATATATTATATATAGTCAAAAAAAAAAAATTAGTCATCAAATCACACATTTTGGAGCTCTTATAAAATGTAAAGTATTTGATACTTGCTCTGTTGTGCTAGCAATATTTAACATGCAACTGGTAGCATCCCTTTGTATTCCACCAAACATTATTAATTCTCCTTTACCAGCAACTAAGCTGTACAATATAGTTTCTTCCGGTGCTTCCTTTGATATTATGTTTTTATCATTCTGCATCCAAGTTGCAGAACACTCTTCTGAATTAACATTTGATATATCTAACACAAAAATAGATAGCTGATTTCTTTTATGTTTCTTTGTCGGAATCTTTTCAGCTTCTACTTTTTTTCTTAATTTTTCTATGTCTAACTGTTGAACTAAATATCCTCGTTTTAAAACTTCTTCATATCTTTTTAATCTCTGAGATACAACATCTAATCTCCTCAATCTTTCAGAGTGATTATTGTTCTGTGAGTGCTTGTTTTTAGATGCTAACATTCCTCCTCTTCTTAAATTATTTTTATTATGTAATCCAGGTTGTAAATTGTCTTTGCTAGTACTAGGTCTATCTTCGTCTGACTCTACAAATATTATTTGACTTTTACTAGTACTAGGTTCTGATTTTTTTTCTGTATTTGATTTATTTTTACTTTGCAATTGTCCATACTTTCCTATAAAAAATATCCTAATTATTAACTATTTTATTGTCATTTATGTTATTTATTTCATTAATTAACATTACCATTAATGTTCTCATCTATATCCAGAGAATTAGATTTTTTATCAGGGATCACTATGAATCTTATAGGAATATCGTTATCATCTTCATAGAAATCATCTTCTAATCTGTTAGGAGGTGGTCCTTTTATCTGGTTGGGTAAATTCCATTTGCATGACAAACTTAGTGGGGTACCAATAATTTTTCCTTGACTTAATATTACTAACTTATCTCCAACCTGAAGAATAAATAAAAGAAGTTAAAAACTGTTGATTCATAAGAAGTATTTTATTGTGATTATGAAGGCAATATACCTTAATCAGGAATTATAAGAACAAAATGCAGAAATGTGATAAGCATATTATTTGGAGTAAATTTACAAGTTATACAAAGTGATAAGGTAAGCTAAGATATTGATTGATTTGATAATAATCTTTTTCACAGTTCTTAATGTTGCAAATCTGAGTTCTTTATCTAGTTAAGTAATTTTATAAAGTAATATTTTTCGATTTGAGCAATAATGTGATGATTCCAGTAATAATGTGAAAATGAATTTTAAAATTTGTTATAGATGAGAAATCTACTTACTTTGCATGCTTGGTTACACCAAATATTTGCTGGACCGTTAGAAGTATTGAAAATTTGCACTTTTCGCCATTTCCAAATATTTGAATTCATTGCTAATAACCAGCAATCTGAGTAAATCAGATTAGTTCCACCACAACCTCCTATTATTAAAAGATGTTCACTATCTAAGTAAATTTGTGATTGACCATATCTAAAAAAAATATATATGTAACATAAAGGACATATAAATGGTCAATTCATGTATTGAATAGTTTTATTATTATTATTAATATTATTTCATTAACCTTGGCATAGGTTTCTCTGCAGATGTTGACTGTTTATACCACAAGAATGTAATTAGGTCCAAACACCAAATATCATTTGAACTACTGAATTGCGAGTCAAAAGCACCATGATGTTTCTGTAATCCTCCAAATACAATCATTATATTATTATGGACAGTAGCAGAGTGACCTGCCATTGGGGGTGGCATGTCATCTAGACCGATCTGTTTAAGCCATCGATTTTGGTTTATGTTATAAATATGTAACTCGTCAAATAATTTCCATGACTGGTGAAGTGGATATGGAGAAGGATGTGCCCAGCCTCCAAATAAAATTAATGTGTTATTGTGACATACCATAGAAGCACATGCTTTAGGAGACGGATAGGTGCCTGAAATGTAAGGTAAATTTTATGTGAAGATTTTAAATCCAAGATTGAAGTTTATTATAATGAACTCAATCTTTCAATAGATTATTAGCAAAGTATTTAGTTTTCGTACCAGTGGTCAGCAATCTTTCAAATTGCCTTGTAGACAAATTAAACTTCCATAAATCATTAAATGTAGTTGATGTGCAAGTGCAGCCTCCAAACACATACATTGAATTTTTATCAACGACTGTAGAATGTGAATATCTTTTTGCAATGGTATTTGCTAAATCTATAGGACTTATTGAGTCCCAAATTATATCAAAATCAACGATAGCACGATAGAGGTCTATTGAAGTTTTATTTATGACATCTGGAATAAAAAATGTGTTGTAATTGTATAAGTAATTATATACACAATCTTTCAATAGTATTATTAGAAGCAAAATTAAATGCCTTCATTTATAATTAATCATTTATCGCGGAAGTGAAACTTCTTAGCAAAAAGAATTTGCAAAATGTTGTTTATAAAATAAAATCCAAAACAATTTTTTAGCAACATATTTCTAATAATAAATAACATCAAAGCAAAAAATTTTTAACTTGTATATTGTCTTCATGATTTTTGAAACAAATAACAAAACAAGAGTTCGATATTTTAAACTTGGAAAACAAATATGTTTCAAGTTGTAAATGTTGCATTTATCAAAATCATATAGATTTATTCAAAAGATATTTTCTTGTGGCTTAGAAGAGCAGTTTTATATTGAGGCTCTTTTGATTGGGTAAAATCAAAATTCTTAGGATTAATTTAAATCAGATGCAAAATCTGTATGATAGAGATTGTTCAGAGTTTAACTATGGAAGCATCATAAACCACAATATATTATTAATGTACTTCTAGCGCATTGTGCCCATCTTTTCGAGACCAATAGACATTTTTGAAGATCATCATAGGGTGGTAGGAAACCCAAAATAAATTCCAATACTTCGTCAGGTATTCTTTCCATATTTGAGAAATTCTCTACGTATTATGATAAATAAAAAAATAGATTATTTCTAAATATTGTCACTTTTAAAATATATCAACATTGCACAATCACAATTGAAATAGAAATTATTATGTGTTATTGTTTATTTGTTGACAGCTGGAATTTGAATTCTATGTTTGATCACTTGTAATGTGTGTTGCCTGATGAGATATTCAGTTATATGAAAGGGGGACATTTTTAGGCGAAATTGGAATGATTGGTAATTTAATATTTTTTTAATATGTGTGCGATTTTTATAACCGTTTTAAATGTTCCATTTTTCGATTTTTTTATGATACACATCATTGACGTTTATTTTAATATTGCTTTTAAAATTAAATACATAAAATTATAATTATAAAATTTTTTGTTGCATTTATTTTATTTGTTAAAATGAAGTTGCAAAAATCCCAATATAAAATAATTACTTTAAATTTCTTATTTTAGCAAAATAATACATATAACTTAATTAATAAATCAATTCTAATAAAAATTCATTAATTATTATTTATGGTTTTATACCTTCCCAGTAAACACGCGATGTGATCTTCTATAATATCGACATCGTTATTATAATGCGGTTATCGAATCTACGCCACAAGAGGATTTTAAACTTGCGTGCGCTTGTGTGTGTTACAATACACACAAAGCTCGCATTGAGTTGTCTCACGAGACATAAACACGCGCTGTCGGGGGTAATGACATCGTTGAATTTCATGTGAGATACATGTCGTGCGCTGGTGTGTGTTAGCACACATGCAAAGCATAATCAATGACGTCACACGGCGTGAAGCAAACGCGTCGTGCGCTGCGTTGTGTGCGTTGTGTGCTGGTGTGTGTGACCATACAAAGAAAGCTTTACATCAGCGCGCCGTGGCCACTGGTGGAACCGACTGTTTCTTTGACAAAATGGCGCAAAATGTCACGAATTTATCATGCATCAAGTTATATTTTCTTTAGTATAATAATTACATTCGTTTAGTTAAGCAACTTGTTTATGATAATTGTAGAAAAGTGTAGAAAAATGACATCGTAAGTATATCATATATTATTTATATAGATATGTAATTACTTCACGATTTTGAATTCCATTTAGTGCATTATATCCTGGGATGAAGAAACGTTATTTTATGTCGATTTCTTTAGATGACAAAGGAGGTAACCAAATAGCATATCTTACAAAATCTGAGGACAATAATAAGGATCGTTTATCAAGGTTAAAATAATTATTTTACTAAATTAAGACATTAACATATCCATGTGTTCGACATAACCTCACTTCTTAAATCTCTTAAATTAGTCGGTTGAGAAGCGGATCGAGAATGATTGTTTGAATATGTAAGTCACTACAAATATAATAGCTATACAAATATATATAAACAGCAAACACGTATGCCATGTTCATATTTATTTCAGAAGTCGTACAAAATTGGGATGAAACGATGAACAATATACAGATCTTTAGACAGGCTCAAATAATGTATGTTTAGGAGCAACTTGAAGATAATGGAGATTTATCTTCTTAATATGTAAGTTGATTCATATATAGTTGCTGTATATATATTATTTGGTAACAAATACATTATATTTATAATTGTTTTAGAAAACCTCTAAAATTGGGAACAGTATGTCATATATGCATGAACTTGATTGATGTATTGATGTATAATGAACTGAAGATATAATGAATTCAATCAGGTTAAAAAAAATGTATGTGCAAAAGCGACTCGAAGACGATTTAGATTTGTCTCTTGAATATGTAAGTTGCTACACATATGGAGTGGTATATATATTATTAGATTCAATAAAACACATTATGTTTCAAATTGTTTTAGAAAACTTCCAAGAAGTACAT